ATAAACAAGTGACAGAATAATACCCGAACCTGCTGGAAAGACATATCACGCTGGGTAAAAAACTGGCTGGATGGCCGAGCCCAGAGAGTTGTGGTGAATGGAGTTAAATCCATTTGGCAGCTGGTCATGAGTGGTGTCCCCCAGGGCTCAGTTCTAGGGCTGGTCTTGGTTATTATCTTTATCAGTGACCTGGACGAGGGTATTGAGTGTGCCCTCAGTAAGTTTGCAGATGACACCAAACGGGGTGGGAGTGTCGATCTGCTGGAGGGGAGGAGGGCTCTGCAGAGGGACCTGGCCAGGCTGGATTGATGGGCCAAGGCCAACTGTATGAGGTTCAACAAGGCCAAGTGCCAGTCCTCCACTTTGGTCACAACAACCTACAGGCTTGGGGAAGAGTGGCTGGAAAGCTGCCTGGTGGAAAAAGACCTGGGGGTACTGGCTGACAGCTGGCTGAATATGAGCCAGGAGTGTGGACAGGTGGCCAAGAAGGCCAACGGCATCCTGTATAAAGAATAGTGTGGCCATCAGGAGTAGGGAAGTGATCGTGCCCCTGTACTCAGTGCTGGTGAGGTGGCACCTTGAATACTGTGTTCAGTTTTGGGCCCTTCACTACAAAAAAGACGTTGCGTTGCTTGAACATGTCCAGAGGACAGCTACACAGCTGGTGAGGGGTCTGGAGCACAAGTCATACGAGGAGCGGCTGAGGCAAATGGGGTTGTTTAGTCTGGAGAAGAGGAGGCTGAGGGGAGACCTGATCACCCTCTACAACTGCCTGAAAGGAGGCTGTAGTGAGGTGGGGGTTGGCCTCTTCTCCCTGGTAATGGACAACAGGATGAGGGGGAACGGTTTGAAGTTGTGCCAGGGCAGGTTTAGGTTGGACATTAGGAAAAATTTCTTCACACAAAGGGCTGTCAAGCACTGTAATGGGCTGTCCAGGGAGGTGGTTGAGTCCTCACCCCTGGAGGTATTTAAAAGCTGGGCAGTTGAAGTGCTTAGGGACAGATTTTAGTGGTGGGATGGCAGGGTTAAGGTAACGGTTGGACTTGATGATCTTAAAGGTCTTTTCCAACCTAAATGATTCTATGATCTTCTTGGGTGGTTCTTACTCTTACATCCGCAATTCCTCATTACCAAACATCCTATGCTGTTGATTTATTACTAGCTCCAGGAACATCATCAAAGCAGAGAAAAACATGTCACAAATAAACAGAAGGGCTATAGCTTGGACACACACCCCCGGTACTAAAGAGTTAATGGCAATTTTGTTTATTTCTTCTTGGTGCGTGGTGATGGATCTCAACCCAACATGTGAATTGCTTCCCTCAGGAAAAGTATTAACCGTTGAAGTAGAGTTTTAATTCCTGCAGAACTGAGATTTGCAGTAGCATCTGTCCTTTCCTCGTCTCCACAGTTACAAACCGGGCTGATTGAGATGAATGAGCCCTAATTTAAGTAAGGATCTGGGATATTCCTGCTCACATACTTAGAAACTGACTCGGTTTACAAGTTCTTACAAGGATGTTTTTCCTCCGCTAGCTTTAGATCGCTGCTTTAGGAATCCATGTTAGTGACTTCACTCCTAACAGGGAATAGAGAAATAAAGATGGTGCCAAAGTGTGGTTTAATACTCTAGTTCTTGTCTGATACTGGTGCTCTGAACTTAGCTCTTGGTAGCAACCACAGTAGCTAGGGAGTTCACTACTACATAGTTCATGTACTAAGTGAGGTGGAGTGGGCTCCCTTCAATTGTCCTGCACGTGGGTTGGGATAACCCCATCCTTAGGTATAGGCTGGAAGCTGACCGGCTGTGGAGCAGCTCTGCAGACAGACGTGGGTTCCTGCAGATGACATGCTGAACATATCATCAGCGTGCCTCTGTGACAGTGAAGGTTCACTGCGTGCTGGGCTGCATTCACAAGACCATAGTCAGCTGTCCTGGTTTCAGCTGGGACAGTTAATTTTCTCCCTAACAGCTGGCACAGTGTTGTGGTTTGGATTTAGGATGAGAAGAACGTTGATAACACACTGAGGGTTCAGTTGTTGCGGAGCAGGAATTATACCAGGCAAGGACTTTTTCAGCTTCCCCTGCTCTGCCAGGGGCACAAGAAGCTGGGAAGGGGCACAGCCAGGACAGGTGACCCCAACTGGCCCAAGGGCTATTCCAGACCATGTGGTGTCATGCTCAGTACATAAGGCTGGGGGAAGAAGAAGGAAGGGGGGGACGTTGGGAGTGATGACATTTGTCTTCCCAAGCCACGGTTACGCGTGACAGAGCCCTACATTCCTGGAGAAGGCTGAACCCCTGCCTGCCAATGGGAAGGAAGGAATTAATTCCTTGCTTTGCTTTGCTTGCACGCTCATGGCTTTTGCTTTCCCTATTAAACTGCCTTTATCTCAACCCACAAGCTTTCTCAGTTTTACCCTTCTGATTGAAGATGGGAGGAGCAAGCAAGAGGCTGGGGGTGCTGAGTTGCCAGATGGGGTTAAACCACGACACCAGCCATTCAGGATAGCTGCTGATTTCTTGTTGCTTGGCACTTGTGAGACTGCATCTGGAGAACTATGTACAGCATAGCTTCCCCACCCTCAGTGAAAAACCCCAGAGATGTTATCAAAATGGTGTGAGTCTAATGGAGGATGAGCAAGTTGATCAGAGAATGGGGGCACATGACTAGAAGCAGAGGGAGAAGACAAAGTTGAGAGGAGGGATCTAGTTGTACTGTCCACTGTCTGGAGGGGATTTGTAGAGAAGCCAGAGCCAGACCTCTCAGAAATGTACAGTGAAAGGACAAGAGGTTTGGGTCATGGCTTAAACAAGTAAATCTCCACTGGACATAGGGAAGAAACGCTTCACAATGGAAATGGTGAAGCATGAGGTGGTGCCCAGGGAAGTTGTGGGATCGCCATTCTTGGAGATATTCACACTTATGCAGAGAAGGTAATGAGCAACCTTGTCCAGCTTTTAAGTTAGCCTTGCTTTTAGCAAGGGATTGGACCTCCAGAGGTCCTTTCCAATCTCATTTTCTCTATGGTTTGATTATATTCTTGCTGTTCTTCAAACTTGCACAAATGTTTTCCCAGAAGGTGCTTGGCAGATTTCAATACCTAATTGGTCCCTGAGGTTTGACTCCATGAGGAAGTACAAGAATGTAACATGCTACCACTGTTACAAAAAGGAGCTGAAAAGAGAGGAGTTTTATTTGCCATAACTCAAATGTCAAACTAAATGAAGGAGAAAGATAAGACTCAGAATCTTTTCTGAAGCATCCTGGATTGTTGTGGATGTACTGGTAACTATTTGGACCATTTCTTAGAGTTCGTGTGTGAGTTTTTGGAGACAGGGAAAGATTAAAAGGGCAATGGCTTGGAAACCTGAACTTCCAGTCTTCAAACTAAAGTAAAAGCTTTTAGTTCTTATTGACAGAGTTTCTTGTTTTAAGGGACCACTCTCAGCATCCATATAATATTTGGTCATCCTTAGTATTAAAAAATATGTTCTATATTTATATGTTTTGTGAGAGGGAAGTTTTTTTGTTTTGGTGTTTTCTGAGAAACAACCATGAGATGATGCTAATAAACCCCTGTGTTTTGCTGGAAAAAGGGCACTAAAGGGGAAAGATGTAATGGGAATAGTGTGATAAGAAGGGTTCTAGCATCCTAGCTTGGATCTACCTTTTTGCCAAACATTTTGTAAGGAGCATTTGAAGAAGAAAAGTTGATTGGCACGTTTGGTATGGGCTGTGAGCTATCTGGGGTGTGCTTGCTTTCCCTGGGAACTCATTGTGTTGGTGTCTATTTCAATCATTCAGAAATATCTGAAATTAGTCTGAAATGAGCCTAAAACCAGATTCAAAGATCCAGACACAAAACTGGGGAGATCTGAATGCAAAATGAGTTGTATGCCTCTTTTTAAGGCAAGGAGGGCTGGTGTCCAGGAAAAAGAAGAAGGGAGAATGCAGTTGGAAACACATGGATGGGACCTTGCAAGCTTGAAAGAAAAGAATGTGATTGAAGGGCACCAGCCAGAGTTTTCATGTTCCACTTCACTTCCGGAAGGTAACGGCAACCACAGTGGTGGCTATTGTGGTAGTGCAGTAGACACAGTGCACTGGACAGTATTCATGCGTGAGTTTGGGGTAGGATGTTGTGAGGTAAAGGGAAACTTGGAGACGGGAGCTCTGAAGAAGGAAGAATGACTGTCAGCATCAGAGTTGATCCACTGGAGCTGTAAAGCCAAGGCTAAATGAAAAGTAAACAGAAAATGTTCCCATAATTTTTCCTTTCCCCCCCTTATACTCTTGCTTAGTGTTCGCATCCATTCATTTCCCCATGCATTTTGCCTTCTATCCGTGGTACCCACCCATCCTTTCTCCTTATAGCATTGTATCTTTCTGTCTGACCTTTTCTCTGTAAAGTCTCCCTCTCTCTGTGTTTTTCTTTTTATCTCCTTTTAACTGCAGAAAGTTTCTCTTTTGCAGTACTAATATGTCCGTCAACCAGTCCAATATTCTTCAGTATCAGTCTACAGTGTGACTGCGTTCCTCCGCAATTGAATTCATTTCAACTAGTAGGTCTCTGGGCACCGTGACTGCGTTCCTCCGCAATACTGCTTTTGAATTCATTTCAACTAGTAGGTCTCTGGGCACTTAGTCAAACTACTCCCCGTGTGCATTTGGCTTTTTTCTGTATTTGGTGGGGGGCAAATGTTCAGAGATTCATTTGTCCTAGGGTCTGTAACAGTTTCTGCATGTGCACCTCTCTCACTGTGCTAAGAGGGAACCGCATGAATAATTTTTACTGTAGCGGGGACTCAGTGTTATAAATGGAACTTGGGACTCCTTTACATGAGCAAGGTTGTTAGCGTGTGCTTACTGTGGCTGGGGTTCATTACTGGTATTACCCTTTAATGTTAGCAAAGCCAAACTAACTTGTTCTCTGTTGTTTTCTGCTAGTTCTCAAAATGGGCCTTTTTTTCTTTTTCTGCCAGCAATGAAGCCTCAATGAACCACACAACAGTAGTGGAATTTGTCCTCTTGGGACTGACCAACAGCTGCCATTTGGAGATCATCCTCTTTCTGTTTCTTGTGATTGCCTACTTCTTGATCCTGCTTGGAAACATTACTGTCATCAGCATCACTCTTGCAAATCATTTCCTTCAGACCCTAGTGTACTACTTCCTCAGAAATTTTGCCCTTTTGGAAATCAGTTTTACCTCCACATTCATTCCCAGGACCCTCTACAGCCTTCTGACAGAGAGGAAGATCATTTCCCTGCCTGACTGTTTCCTTCAGATGCTGCTTTTCTTTTATTTGGGTACCTGCACATTTTTCCATGTGGCAGCAATGTCATTTGATCGGTATGTTGCCATTTGCCGCCCTTTGCATTACACAACAATTATGAACAACAGCTTTTGCCTCCAGCTGGTCCTGGCTTGCTGGGCAGTGAGTTTTCTCTTGATGTTTCCTCCCACCATTATGACTGTGCAGTTGCCATTCTGTGGTCCCAATGTCATGAACCACTTTTACTGTGATACTTCTCTGTTGTTGCAACTGTCCTGCACTGACACAGGGTTCATTGAAGGACTGATGCTTAGCATACTAATTATCATCATACCTGGTACCTTAATGTGGTATGCAAGCAATGCAGAAGCCGAGTGGGCAGTAACCGCAAGGCCAAGAAGAGGAGGAGCAAGAGGGCATCACCGTGACCACACAGTGATTGGCAGGACTGGAATGTGGCCTCACTATAAGACTTAGAGCTCGAAATTATACTGCGTCACTTGGAGCATCCATACTGTGTATGCTGTGTTTCCTTGACCCGCAGACGGCAGGGTGTCTGCGTGATCCTTCGGGTAACCTTAAAGTTGATACAAAACCCAACAGTTTAATAGTAACCACTGTCTCTTGCAGCTGCATTATTACCACCATCTTGCATATACCCTCTTCCACAGATAGGAAGAAGGCATTTTCCACTTGCTCAGCTCACCTCATGGTGGTGATATTTTACAGCACGTGTATTTACAGGTATATCTGCCCAGCACAGCGAGGTGGTCAGGACTCTGACAAAGTTCTTTCTTTCTTCTTCTCCATGATGACACAGATATTTAACCTGTGCATCTACTCACTCAGGAACAACCAAGTCAAACAAGCCTTAAACAAGAGCATGTTGAAGGCAATTTCTAGCTCCCAAAGGCAGTTGTGAATGCTGGAGTGGCCCATCCAAGTGACTGAATTGTTTCCCAGATGTAACATCAGCACTGTGTAACTGAATTAAAGATGCTGATTTCAAATTGTTTACGCTTTCTACATGTTATGTAGTTCCTTCTTCTGGTAAGCAACCAAACTGTGCCAAAACAGAAAGGATCTTCTAGTCCTCCAGTACCTAGACTCAGCTTTGCCTGTGTATTTTTTCCCCCTTGCTGTGGTGGGTTAGCCTTGGCTAACAACCAAATCCTCACCCTCATTCACCCCTTCCAATCCATAGTGGGACAGAGCGGAGGCAGAAAACAGGAAAAACAGAAACAAGAAACCTTGTGGGTTGAGATAAAGATGGAGAGACGGCTTACCAGTTGCTGCTGGGAGCAAAACAGATTGGATTTAGGGAAAGTTAATTTAATTTATTGCCAAATAAAATAGTTTTAGTTTGTGAGAAGCAAAGTCAAATACTAAACTGACACCTTTACTTGCCCTTTGCACATGGTCAGTTTTATTCATTCATTCCAGCCTCCTCTACTGCTGCCCTAAGCAGCACAGGACAGGTGGGGAGGGTTATAGTCAATCCATAGTGGTTTCCCTCTGCTGCTCCTTTCCTTTTGCACTTTTTCTCTGCCCCAATGTGGGTTCTCCACAGGCTGCAGTGGATATCTGCTCCACCATGGAGTATTTTCTCCTTCTTCTCTGATCTTGTTGTTCCCTCTGTTGTATCTCACTCTTTTTGTTCCCTCCTCCTTTCTCTAGCTGGCAACTTCTGCCCTTTCTTAAAGATGTGTTCCCAGAGGTGCACCAGCTTCACTCATGGGCTCAGCTTTGGCCTGTGGTAAGTCCATTTTAGAGCTGGCTGGATCTATCTGTGTCCAGCCCAGAGCAGACCCTTGTGTCTTCTCACACAGACCATACCTGCAGGCCCCTTGTTACCAAAACCTTTCTATCTAGACCTGTGGTGGGTTAACCTTGTCTGGCTGCCAGACACCCCCCAAGCAGATCTCACTGCCCTTCCTCAGCAGGACAGGGGAGAAAATAAGATGGAAAAGCTTGTGTAAAGACAGGGTAATGGCTGAACAGGGAACTCCTTGTGGAGATCAAGTGGAAGAAGTAATTTTACAAACTCAGGAAGCAAGGTCAGGCTTCGTAGGAAGATTACAGAGCAATAATTTGGATATGCAGGGAGAAGACATGAAAGACCAAAGCTCAATTAGAGTTGAAACTGGACAGTGTTGTATCTGACAAGAAGAAGGGCTTTTTAAAGTACATCAATAGCAAAAGGGGGTCTAAAGAAAACATTGGACTGATACCTGTTGAAGATGGTCACCAGACTAACAAGGGTGAAGATAAAGCAGACGGATAGAGTCATAGAACCATTTAGGTTGGAAAAGGCCCTTAAGTTCATCTAGTCCAACCATAAACTAAAACTGACAAGTCCACTACTAAATCATGTCCCTAAGTGCCACATCTACACATCTTTTAAATGTCACTAGTGACTCAACCTCTTCCTTGGGCAGCCTGTTCCGTTGCTTGACCACTCTTTCAGAGAAAAGATTTTTCCTATTGTCCAGTCTAAACCTCCCTTGGCACAACTTGAGGCCATTTCCCCTTGTCCCATTGCCCGTTCCCTGGGAGCAGAGCCTGACCTCCCTGGATCCCCTCTCCTGTCAGGCAGCTGTAGGGAGCGATAAGGTCTCCCTTCAGCCTCTTCTTCTCCAGGCTGAAGACCCCCAGCTCCCCCAGCTGATCCCCATCAGCCTTGGCCTCCAGACCCCTCACCAGCTTTGTTGTCCTTCTCTGGACATGCTCCAGCCCCTCCATGTCCTTCTGGGAGTGAGGGGTCCAACCCTGACGCCAGCATTTGAGGGGCGGCCTCACCAGTGCCCAGGACAGGGGCACAGTCACTG